TAAGGCAGCTGCGTATAACGAACACGAGCGCAATAATTTATATCTTGTGAAGCCTTCTAATTTGGACAAGAATTTAAATAATCGTAATTATCATGACGAAGCAATGTGCAGTGAGAGTTTGACTTTTAAAAGCTACATCAGCGACGCAATCATTAATCGCGTTAACGCTGAGATCACTAGTGAAGATAAGCGCAACGAAGATATAAAAGCAAATTCAAAATCAAATCCTTCATGTCCACCTCCGTCTGTGTCTCCATCGCCATCCCGATCACCATCTCCGTCACAATTGTCATCCTCAGCTCCATCCACAAGTCGTAAGCAAATTCAGCGAAGGAGACCTGCAGGCGGAACTAACCGTAATCGTCGCACTATCAGCCGTCGCAAACGAAACTCGGCGCCGAGTCGCTCAAGGACTCAGCGTCGTCGTCGCTAAATGTGAATTGCGTTGAAACCATTTCGATTGAAAATAAAATATAATAAAAAAAACCCTTAATAAAAACTGATTGCACCTAATAAATTAAATGACAAACTCAATTATTTAAGAAAGCGGTGTTTCGATTCATCAACAAGAACTAGCGACCAGTAACTTTCGCAAGGGTATAAACAATTTGAAGAAGAAACATAATGAACCAGACTTTTAGTAACAGTTTTCTCTCTACAAGTTGGCCAAGCAATGGCTATCTCTCAAAGACGACTCCCTTTTAAAGTCCAAAAAGTATTTGATCATTTGACATTGAGGCAGTCGAAACCGAAGTTCCATTTATCATCGATTAAGTAAAATTCGAATTTAAAAAAATTGAAAGTTTAGATTTTTCGACTTCACGTCTTTTTAAGAACCTAACTTTTATATAAGACAGAATTTTCATGTCGTCGGTGGAACTCGCTAAGTAGTTTGTAGTTTGTTTCTAGTATTTAGTAAATTTCTAATCCATGGTTAGCACAGTAGATTTATCGATTATTTAATAGTCGATCTTAATCGACTATAATATTTTAACAAGTTCGCAGAATGCTATAGCATCTGTTTTCATTGCAAAGATGCAAAGCGACGTAAATGTTATAATATTTCAATTTTAAAACCAATTATTTTTCATTTAATTTTGTATAGTCTTGTGGTTTTTTTAATTATGTACTATTGGCTCTAACTGATTCTTTAGGTCTTTGCACATTATTAAGTTTTAAGTCTTTATCTACTTAAAAACTTACTTATGCCTTTTCGTAGATTCCTGTACACTGGAAATAGGGCGGATTTTCTCATTGTCTCTTCTTTTTCTCATGTTTTCTATTATATGAATGCTTTGTCATTTACGTCATCCCAATCAATTGAAAAATGTGATGCAAAATGACGCAAATACTGTAGCGTTCGCTGTATGCTGTTGCGTTCAAAAAGTAAGACCACCACAAACTTAAGTTTGAGTTCCTCTATCCACAATGTCGGCCTATTTTTGCAAATAACTTCATGCAAACGACGCAGAATACACAAGGAACATTCATTGTCAACATTTTGGCCGGCCAGGCTGAAAGAATTCATAGTGCACAGGACCACGATAATCGAAGAAACCTGTTAACATCAAATTCATATTTGAGCGACTTTGACGCGATTTTTCGGTCTTGGTTTACCTCTTGCGCGACACCCATTCGATTGATCGATTGTTTTCGGGATCGTATGCCTAGATCCAAGTCTCTTCTTGCGCAATAATGCCTTTCATGTGGGCTTAATAGTGGAAATCACTCTTTCACCGACATAGTAAGGATTGGGAAAATATACGTCTTGTGTCGTATGAAACCGAGCAAATGAAATTTGTCACAGATGTGTGTCATGGTGCTACCAATTTAGGAAAAAGTATTCCTGATATTCGAACTGAACCATTTAGCTTGCATGTTGGTCTTACTTTATGGGCACAGTACTATAACGGTCCTACCAATGGCCCTACCTAATGTAACTAACCTTAATCCGATTTTCGATATAACAACTAATTTAAAAATAAATTTTCGGCCAATATTTGTACTGACCGCGAACTAGTTAAAGTTATTCGCCTTTATTGGGTATACTAACCGAACCAGATCTCATTGAAGTCGTTTTTTGTCGATGATGAGTTAACGCTATTCAAAGCATTTTCACACCCATTACCACCGAAAATATATGTAGCTTTGGTTTTTACATCATCCTTCTTGATATCATTTTGCTGAGAAATTTTATTTGGCAAAGATTTGTTATTGCTATTATTATTTAATACCGAATCGGTAGCATCCTCCACCACTTTATCAGTCAATTTTATTTCATGTGAACTATTTCGATATAACTTACGAGCGGATCTTAGGAAACTTAAAAATTTTTTATCACTTGTCGTAGATTTTAGATTACTTTTGTAGTTGGTATTCACATAAATACCGGAATCGAAGAACAAAGTTGATGAGCCGGGTACACTCTTCGAATTATCCGGTAATGTGTTCGTTCCTAATTTAACATTATCACTACTAGGTTGCACTGAGGTATATCTATTGATAAGATAGAATTCCTTAAGTGGATTCGATTTTTTTTGACTTATTGGCATAAAGCTATTGTAGTTAGCTAGTTTGTTGTAGCGTCTACGATTTGCAGCTGACTTATAATTCGCATTTTGCAACTCTTTATGTGTAACAGAACTGACACTACGCGTTAGGTTTGTTTGATGATTCCTTTTCAAAGGCGTATCACTTTTACAGGCATTTAGGCCAGTGCAAGATTGTTTGCACCAATAAATATTATTACTACCGAAATAATAACGCCTACGTGTATCCGTTTTATTGGATGCCGGCACCCTATTAACAACACGATTTGTGTTCACAAATTTCTTAGACGAACTATTTGCCAATGTTTTATTAGCTTTTATAATATTTTCATAAGAATCTTTCAATTTCTTATCATCATGATCATCATCGTCATCATCACCATTATTATTATTATTATTATTATCTTCTTCTTTTTGTTTGTTATAGTTATCCGTATGTTTAGCCAAAGCTTTTCTACGACCACTAACGTTCTTGCTTGCAGTTTCGATAGTTCTTGTTGATGATGTTACATTTGATGTTTCACCTCTCGTTGACGTTGTGGTTGCTGCTGCTGGTGTGTTTAAATATGAATTGCTTTGGATGAATACACCATCACAAGTTATTTTAATTGTTGTCACCATGTTTTCTTATAACAAAACATATTTAATTTTTTATTTATCTCTCTCTCTTGAATTTTTACCGTTAAATATTCAAATCAAGTTCAGTGTTAAAAACTTCCCTTGAAACGAATTCAACAACAACTGTTTGCTTCTATTTTCTCTTATTGTTTTTTAAATAAATAAAAACAAAAAAAGTTTCATCATTTTTACTGCAGAAGCAAAAAACAAAAAACAAAAAAAAAATTCGAATTCGAATTCGAAAACTTGTTTCCAATTGATATCGTATTTATTGCACATTTCCTAATTTTTTTTCAATATTATCCACTTGAATGCAACCCATTAACCAACTTATTATTGCTAGCAATAAAGGAAAGTCAAGTCAAGGTATGGTAACAAAAATGAAGTTAGAAAACCATTATTTTTGAGATTTAAAGCGAATCTTAGATACCCGCCACCTGTGCTTTTTTTCTACCGATTAGTTTGATAGAGAGCAACAATAATATTTCTGTAAACTTGAAACGGGAAAAATCCTTATCGAAAAATCTCGATATATCTATCTCATCAACTTACGTTTCTTCGGCAGAACATTTGAGGACTTACGCGATCATGAGATAAGTACCGGTGTTGCTCCTTCCATAGAGATCGTGTTGTCGAAAACGTTTTTTGTTATCACCTTAATGAATATGAAAATGAAGGTAATGGTAATGGTCTATAGATAAGATATATATAAGAATTCCAAGCATCGTATCAGAAGATTTATAAAAAATTATTAATCTCGCCTTACATACAAGTATTGTGCGCTGTGAGTACTGCCATAAGACAAATCTGATTTGATATGTTCTTATAGCCCATATATATATGCCAGCAATGCTCTTCTATTCCACACAACCGAACCTTAAGGTCTTAAGAGATCGATTTCAAGGGTATTTTTCAGGAATATAAGGCTCTATAGAAGAGAAGACCACGCTCATGTTCTTTGATGGTGTTTAGTGTAAATGATTATCAACAAAATACAATTGCTTTGATCGAAGCGCCTAAGGCTGCAAGCCGCTTCACGGTTAGAATTAAAAAAAAAAAAAAAAAAAGGGGAAAATGGGATATAATTGGCACTTATGACTAAGCAAGTAAAACTATTATAGTAGGCCACGTATTACCATTAAGTAGTCTATACCACATTGCTTAATTAAGTTATACATATAACGATTTATCAACATAAGGCGTTATATGGGAAACGGTCGAAAAAGTGTTCCGATCCCAAACATTTTTCCAAAACACAAACGACTACACACACGACTATATGCAAAGTTGCCATTTGCAGATTGAACGGAATATGTAGACAGGGATCAAATGGATAGACAGACAGACAATGAAAGGCAGTTATAATAAAAGATGTGTCTATACCAAGTTCTGCTTGGTGTTGTGTGTACTTCTGCACAACAAACTTCATAGAACCTTGAAACACAACTGGCGGAGGGTATAAAAATCATAGAGTGCAACCTGAATTTGAGTGCTCAGCTCATGGGGAAGTGAATGAGTTAAAGTTATCCAAAAATTTTATGAATTTAATTTTTTTGATTGCATAAAGGATTTTCTCCAGACCGCTAAAATAACAATAGTAACGTTTTACTTAAAAGCTTGTGCCACAATTGGATATGAAAACTCTACTAAAAACGACAATTTAGAGAGAAACATTATCAATTATTAACGGAGACTGCAGAGAGCTTTGTGCAGAACATCTGCTTCCTTGTGAATTTCATTTATTCTCACTAATTGCTTTATTTTAAAGATTCCTCCAGAAATTTAGGAATGTTGTGGAAAATGTAGTTTAGTCTCAAGTCTGAAACAATGCAGTGCAGTCCACAGACGAATGTTGTTTTTTTTTCAAGTTGTAGTTTTCAACATATTTTTTTTTACATACATCTAATCTAGCTTCGCCCTGCAAACTATTCAGTTAGCCTGATGTATATGTTGACTCCTTTATGCAGGCAAATCTTATAGTCATGTCATACCAAGATGTCCCCAACTTCCCCGCAAAACCATCTGTTCTTACAAACCGGATTTGTAGAAATCAGCAAAGATTAACTGTCGACTTTCAGTTATCTACCTTCAAACATACTAGCGTTTGGACTAGAGAATAGAGCATTTATTTCTTTTAATAGAATTGAAATGAAAATGCTTTAGGGAATTAAGATCTTTTAAAAACGCAAGCTTAACTCGTCTTAAGTCATTAAATCCTCAAATTTCAATTCAATTTTCTCTCTTAAAACTTACCGTTTTACAACTCTAATCGTTGCAAGGAAAAGTCTCTGATAGCCGTTTACACTTTAAAAGTTTTGGACTAAAGTATTGTTGTCGCTCTTCTAAGATATACGCAGACGGACAGAGAGGTAAACATTGCTAAATCGCTTGTGATCGATTATATATACATATATATATATAGGATATACACATATATCCTTGTTCAGATTACCTATTCATCATTCATTTTATGACGTTACAAATGGAGTAAGAAAATTTATATGATGACAGGTTACAATCAAGCATTCTTCAGTAGTGATTACAAGAAAGAAAAAAAAGGAAAAAAAATAAATAAATAAATAAAAGCTAAAAAGTAACTGTTTTCTTTTTTTGGTTTATTTCTTTATTTCTTAATTAAATAAATAAATAAAAGGAACTGGGTGTTATGACAAACTGTTGCTGTTTATTATTGTGCAGCAGTGTTCGGTGAGCGAGTGAGGTGTGCTCCAGTTTAGGTTAAACTGTATAAAGATTGAAATAAACTAATATGTACATAAGTATATGTGTATGTATATACAAGACTAAGTGTGAATATGCCTTAATGTGGTTAGTTGTTATTGTTGCGCTTTTCATTAAAACATATATGCATTTGTACATATATATAAAGAAGGCTAATTTCAAATTCAGTTACAATGAATAATGTTCGTACTACATACATGGAATAGTGACTTAAACTCAAACTGTCTTTGTTTTCATCGTTTTCTTTTTTCTACCGACTGAGTGACTTACTTAATAAGATTGTGTTGTGTGTGAACAATTTTTTGTTGTTAAAAAAATCTTCAATCATTAAGCTTTTATATTAAGTGGGAAATGTTAATATGAAGCCAAAAAGAAAGGTAGACTTCTAATTAAAAGATTTTTTTTTCTTTTGAAACTATTTTTATGACTTAATTTAAGTTGAAAATTGCGAAAGTAGCCTTTATGTTTACCGCTAGATATATTCCATGTGCAAACATTGAACGCTTTCCATGGTCGTATTATGGGATCTCGCTTGAGATGCGCTTCTTCCTTAGCGTTTGCATCTTAATGCTTGTTATGCTTGTTTACGTTTCTTTCGATGCTTTAAAGTCTATCACTTTTTGCAAGACTTGCACACTTCCGCAACTGTTGCAAGTTATTGCAAGTTATCCAAACTCTTCCAATGGGAGGATAAGGCGTATTTTCATTTTTTTTTTTCTTGTTAAATTATATTTTCATAACCATCTTCTATTTTTTTTTAACTTGCCGATAACGGGAGAGTTCACGTTTCTAGAAAATTTGCTTATGGAGAAGAATTCTAAAGACAACATCAACTTTGTAGGCAGGCTTATATGCTGCCATAGATATGCAACAAAAAATTACATCAAAGTTGCCAACAATGCAGAGAATATGGAAAATGTAACCAAGGCTCTCTTAGTGAATATGAATTAAATAAATGTGCGCCGGTTCCCTACACTGTCAATCTGTATGAGTAATTTACGCGATATTTCTAGAATTAATGGTTGCTTCTGACATTTGTTTAACATGAAATGTCACATAGCTGGTCCTTATACAACGTCATATGTACTCTATAAGCACAGACTGAAAAGAACATTGTTAGAAACGCGGACAACCGCATAGTCTAGTAGGTAAAGATCACCGCATACTGCATTTCTAAGGTAATGGATCATGTTTTAACTATCCTTGGCGTGTAAGGGCAGCTACAGTGAATGATTGATAACACAAATACTTCAGGCATCCATTCCTCAGAGTATAACCGACGAGCTATCTCTCTTTCCACGCTTCCGGTCACTATATTCATAAACTTGTAAGAGACACCTCACAGGGGAAAAAAGAAAAATCAGCGCTCATAACTTAACTACGGGATCTCCTAACAGACTTTCAAAGGCCAGACCAGAAGCAGACAGCCAAATTTTGTTTGAGTTTAGAATATATCTTTAATTCCTCGCCCTTCTCAACGTTGCACGAAAATGAACTACAAAAGAGCAGAAATTTCTCGGTTTGGTTTTTGCGAACTTTCTCGTCAAGCGCGGCAAATGTGTTCATCGCTTACATTTCTATTTTCAAACTTTCAAGTAAATCGATTTTTGCCGAATACAGAGTCTGAGACCTCAATGATTTGTATAAGCAACCGTCCAGCGTTTTATATAGGCAAAGTGCATGTAACCAAGAAAATGCTATACGCTATTTATACCACAAAAAAATGATATTGAACAATTCAATCTGCCGAACAGCTTTAAGAGTCATCTTTTCGAAGCCTCACTAAATTCTATTTAGCATCTAAATGCACGGTGCAAAGAACACGGATAATCAAAGAATCAGCTTGGTCGTCTCGATTAGTCTACATATTAGTTTAAGTTAGTTTGATTGGCTAGCATATTCACTTTATGCAAGCCACCTGCTTTTGAGCATTTCAGACGGATATTCTTATTTGAATGGGAAAAGTAAAGCAGATCTACGCACTACAATAGACGCATAATATTAAGTAGCCGCATAACAGATAGCCAAGGTGCTTAACTCTCTTACTTGTTGATAACAGTTTTACACCTTGTGTCTTTATATTTTATCAAACACTTGGCACTACCAATATTAAAGGAAAAAATGCAGAAGATGACAAGAAATATTTTTATTACTGTTTTAATTACTGGCAATTAGAGTGAGAAAAGATAGAAAGTGCATGGTACAGGCATTTGCCAAATGAAAATAAAAAACACTCTTTTATCGAAGAGAGAACTGTGATGAAAACTGTGAACTATTGTCTATTTCTTTACGTGGGTGTTTATCCGCTCTTAGGATTTTTGTGTGATTAATTTTCTGACTCATACTGCTTATTACAGTTTAAAATGAAAACAAACTTTCTTTCGGTTTACCAGTTGCTTTTACT